GCCTATTATTAATTATTAGCCGAGCCAATAACCTTTTTTCGAAACCTTAAGCCAAACTTCTAATTTAAATTTAATTAAACTAATTATGTTATGCTAGGAGTAGAATGTGTATTTATGTTATATAATTTTATCATGTAGATTTCGAGAGGTCGAGTTCTTGAGGCGTGCATTTGACCGTCCAATTATTCATTCCTCAAGTTGAGGTATATCTGAGGCTGTTGATGAAGGAAATGGAGTAGGTCAATATGTTCTTGTTGTCAGTGCTAATTGCCCTTCATTGAATAAGCTGAAGATGGGATTTATTATCCTCAAGGATGAAGACTTGCTGCACTGCTGGTGGTCACATCAAAAAAGCTCCCAGGATCCTACCATGGCTATTCTGCTTGTAATCAGACAAGGCCTGCAATGTACTTATCTCAACAAATGGTCTGATCTGCTTTGCAAACTGGACAACAAATCAGTGGGACGTGCTCTGTCTTCAAAATATGCATTTCCATCAATTTATAATTCCATTGTTGAAGATATATATTTCCTAGTTAGGTGCATTGGGTCAGTTTCTTTTCTTGTTGATCATTCTGTTGTACCGGTTGTGTTGTCAAAGGCCATGATGGTCGACGAGGGAGATATCAATACTTGATATTTCTCCGTTTGCTTTCTATGTATTTAACCCGTTGGTTAATCGAACATTGTATCCTTTTGAGCTGGATTATTATATATTTGATGTTTGACAAAAAAAAAAAAGTTGAGGTCGGGATATTTATACTACTGAGAATATTTGAGACAATTTCAGACTAATTCGAGACTATACCTTCGGGCAAAAGTATAAAGTACCGGTTTTCTAGTATATAATAGCCATCAAGCTGGGTTACCGTGGGGGTTTGAAATAAAAGCCACTAGGCCGGGTATACTATGGGGGTTTGCAGTTGTGCCGTGAAAACACGAGTCGAACTCGTTCGTTGTTAATCGAGTCGAGTTTAGATAGAATATTAGGCTCATTTAATATTCGAACGAACACGAGCTCGTTCGCGAACATTCAATATGTTTGTGAACATTAATTTAATATAATTTTATTTTATTTTTTATATATTTACATGATACTTTTAATAAATCAATTAAACTATATAAATATTTTTATTTATTTTTTTATTTTCGAGTTCGAATGAACTGAGTTCAAGTTAATCAAATATATTTAAAAAGTTTATATCCTAAATTCGAACATAAACGAACTCAAACTTTGACGAACGAACTTCTTAGATCGAAAGATAAACGAAAAAATACAAACAATGTTCGAACATAAATGAACACAAACACGAACTCAAAACGCCTGAGCTCGGCTTGTTTGGTTCGACTACAGCACTAGACCTAACCAATATGGTCTCACACAAGAATACGTGTTCTATAAAAATACAAGTTGAGTAGACATTGGCTTCCTTGTTTATAAAATAATTTACTCACCTTTAATTTACACTCAAAATCTAAATCAACTTTAATACAACCTCACTATTTTTATTTTTATTCATATAATTAATTAATACAACCAATCATTCTTACACATCACATCAACTTTAATTTACTATTCATCTACTCACAAAATTTTAACTATCTATTATTTCTAATCATTTATCTCTTATTTTTACATAAAATAAATTTTAATTATATTATTTTAAATATTATTTTAATACATTCTTAAAATCCCACTAACAATTAACTAAAATAACTCATTTTGAATGAAATATTTCATAAACAAGCACGTCCTTATTATTTGGCAACTCCATTGGACATAGAGGTGGTCAGTCAACGGCCGTGGCCCGGCCCGGCCCGGCCCGTTGGGTCGACAGGCCTCAAATACTTGGCCCGTGACCGCCCCGGCTATACGTAAGAGCCGGTTCAAACCAGTTCCGGATCAGGTCACGGGTCGGGCCAACCCGTGCCCATGACTAATTGGACATAAAGCTAAAGATTCACCGTTTTGAAGGATATCAACCTCTGTTCTCCCGCACATTTTAACAGGTGTCTGACAAAAAGTGACGACAAAAACAAAACCCACACAATCTCTGCAGCAACACCCCTAAACCAAACCACACCCCCACAAAGCGCAAGCAGCCAAAGAACCCCCACCCCGCCTAATGCTGCCTTACGCCACCGTCGACGCGGCGGAAGCCGCCCTCGGCAGATCCCTCACGGCGGCCGAGGCGCTATGGCTCAGATACTCCGCCGCCAAGTCCGACTACGTCCTCTACTGCCACAACATCATCTTCCTCTTCCTCATCTTCTCCGTCTTCCCCTTTTACTACCTCCTCTTGGAGAACTTCTTCGGGAAATCCGTCAGCCCTTACAAAATCCAGCCCAAGGTGAAGCTCTCCTTTTCCGACACGCTCCGATGCTACAAATCGGTCATGGGCATGTTCTTTCTGGTCGTGGGGCCCCTTCAGCTCGTCTCCTACCCCGCCGTTAAGGTGGGTCGTCTTGTTAATTGTTCAATTTTATCCAATTAGTCTTGTCCTGTATCGTTTTTTAATCTTGTGCTGCTAAAAATTTGTGCTTTGATGTGAAATCTTGAAATCTCCATGTTACTGTACTGGAATCGTTGAATTTTTAATATCTTTTTTCCTTTTTTTGGGTGATTGAAGTTGATTGGAATACGAACGAGCTTGCCATTGCCTTCATTATGGGAAATTTTGCTGCAATTGGGGGTTTATTTCATAGTCGAGGACTACACAAACTATTGGATCCACAGATTTCTTCACTGCAAGTGGGGGTACGAGAAAATCCACAAGGTCCATCATGAATACACGGCCCCAATTGGGTTCGCGGCTCCATATGCCCACTGGGCCGAGGTTTTGATCCTCGGCATCCCGTCTTTTCTTGGACCTGCTATAGTCCCGGGACATATCCTTACTTTCTGGCTGTGGATTGGTTTGAGGCAGATTGAGGCGATCGAGACTCATAGTGGGTAATGTACTTTTGCCATGCTTAAACCGCTCGTGCTTTGATTTGATGCGTCGTTTGATTGATTTAAGTGTCATTTTTTGTTTGCCTTTGGTTTTTTATTAATTAGACCGAATGATGGCTCCACTGTGATATTTTTTAATCACTTGCTAAAGGTGTTTGCTTTTGGGATTCCCATTGATCTGGTGGAAAGTAATTAAGTAATTGGATTAGTGGGATGAGTTCCATAATAGTGGATTAACTTTTGTTCACGGGGAGGAGGATTTTGAGGAGTGCCTTTTTCTCCCCTTCTCCCCCTACCCACTTTAATTGTTTTTTTATTTTTGTTTTATAATTTTAATCCTTTATTCCTGTTGATCTTATTAGGTTGACATTTACTAGCTGCATTGTCATTTACTGCAGTTTGTCGTGAATACTGTTTCCTTTCATATGAGTTTGAAATGCTGCTCTTTGTTTTTTTTCTGAATGTATTTATTCTGAAGACGGTGTTAATCTCATATAATGAAAAAGATCCCTAGAATGTAAATATTTATAGTGTTATCTTTTTTGAACACCTTCTATGTTTTCTAAGTTGTGGCATGGGTAATATAGATTTCCTTGCTCTCGAAATTTGTCTGCATGAAGAGGTGATATTTTAGTTGGTAGGTGTGAAAGTCTTGTGTGTTTGCTGCCTGTTATGACTCCTTTTGTTTATAAATGCCACTAAATCTGCTGGACCAATTTGATTGAGGCTTGTATGGCTTGGGTTTAGAGTAGAATATGAAGCAATGGAAATGCTGAGGAGATATATTTTACAATAATTTAAACAGAAACAGAACATATATACGTATTTTTACCATATTAACTATATAATTAGTATGACTCTCAAGTGTCAGCTATTTATTAACATATTAAAGTCCCAAATCATTTCATCTTGTTAGACTTTGTTCAATGATGTAGCCCAGTAAGAGTGATGTTTTACAGCCACTGTCATTACTATGTTAAGACAAAATGCTAAAATTTTGAGAAAGGGGTACAGAACATGTGTGTATTACCTAGACTTCATTGTAACAGCTTCTGAATTTTATCATATCTGATTTCTCCAAATTTTCTTGCTAAATATCTGTCTGTTTCAACGTGAATTACACTATTTTATTGAAAGGCACTTTGTTTATCTCGATTTATATGACAACGCAACTGATCAGTGATTCACAATTGTAAAATTGTTTCTCATTTGATTGCTAGGACAAACTATCTCTAAATTGATTTTTTTTTTTTTTTTTATCACATCTATCTTTTATTATCTAAAAATCTTGAATGGAGTTGTATTATACTGCTGTGGACCAGAAATGGTTGAATCATCTTGTCTAAAGCATTGCCTGATAAAACTGCAAAAGCTACTTTTTTCTTGTGAAAATTTTCTGTATTCTTTTGCCAGGGTATGTATGTGAAGCTTTTTCATTATTACTCTTCGGTTATGCGCATTATTACTCTGCTGCTTTTGTTCACAACGACATTTTTATTGATGCAGGTACGATTTTCCGTGGACTCCAACAAAGTATATCCCTTTTTACGGTGGCCCGGATTACCATGATTACCATCATTATGTTGGTGGACAGAGTCAAAGTAATTTTGCATCAGTATTTACCTATTGCGATTACATTTATGGCACTGACAAGGTAAATCACTAGAACTCATCATATGTTTAAGTTAGAAGTTACAATGGGTATAAAATTGGCTCGTCAAAATTATTATATTTACCCATATATATTTTATTTTGCAGGGATACCGCTATCAAAAGAAGGTCCTCCAGCAGGTATATTCTCTTCTCTTGTGATATGAATAAGTAATCCAGTTTGCTGCTTTCCTTTTATTGAAATAAACAATTATTTCACCTTGTCCAGTTGCAAGAGGAACAAAAATCCAAGGTTGGAGAAGACAAAGTCCTACGCAATGAATCTGCACGAAGTTATAAATTCGACTGATTTTGGGAAGATGAGAGTGACTTTTGATTCATGGTCTTCATCACAATTCACAATGTTTATTGTTTGTAACAAGTAGCTTGAGCCGTAAGTTCAATGTTTGCCTTCATTTCTTGTTAGAGGCGCGTAGAATGTGTGTATTTTTCCCCTCATCCTAATATTTATCTTGACAAAGGCTTAATGCTGAATTTTGGAGCTTGTACCATCATATTATTCTAAATCAGTCCAATAGCTTGTCATTGTTGGTTCTGGAAAACTTTGCATTATTGCTATGTTATATGTGAAATGTGTGATTTTCGAAGATAGAGGCGGGAGTAAAGATGTAAACGAACGAAACCGAGATCGAACTTCTGATACTCAAGTTTGTGTCGAGCTTTTAATGAGCTGAGCTCAAAAAGTGAGATGTTGAATGAGATTGAACTTGGCTTATTTATCAAAATTAACAAACCAATCTCGAGTCTTAACGCGCTGCGTATAGATAAAAATTCTAAAAATTATGTAAAATCCAATTTTCTTGAGTTGGACTTGCAAGTAGCTCGCTTCATTTAACAGTTCCCCAAGAGCTTAATAGAAAGGATGACTATTATTATCCTATTCTTAACTTCTATTGGATATAAAACATATCTCATATTAGTTAGAGGCAAATCAAGGATATGGTGACGTGTTGTGAGGTTCCAATTTGCAATTATACAACTTAGGTCTTCAGCAAATAGTCTACCCAAATCTTTGTTGGCATAGAAATATTTTAAAAATCCGCTTATGAAACACAGGGTTCATACAACAATATTCAAATGTTATGGCAACGCAAAAAGAGTAGATGTTTTATGGGCTTTATATCGGCATATTCTTATCTGGGCCATCTCAGGGGCTCAATTTTAAACCCAACAAACAAAAGCAATGCCGTGTACAACAAGTTACACGTAAAGTATCAATCACAATCATTGTCTCGAGGTCATGGAGTATATTTGGTTTAAAAAATGAGAAATTTTTGTACATACTTCACGAAATTAAAGAAATTTCGAATTTACCATTCAATAACAAATAATTATGTATATTTACTTAAGAGACTAAAAATAATTACGTCAATGTCTAAAAATCAGTTACCCATTGTAAACATCATCCATTCTATAAAATCAGTTATCCATTCCATTCCATTGTAATTCACGCAGTTGTCCAGTTACGTATATGTTGCGTTTATGTTAGTATATATTCAATATATGTTACAATGAAAAACATGAATTCCGTCAAAAATTATGTCTTCGTTTTTTTTTTTTTTTAATTTTATACATAAAAGTATATATAGTTTATAAACATATTATAACAGATTACTTATATTTCCTAAAATAAATCTTTTAATATACTGAACATATACTCTATATACACACAACATAAACTAAACAGTTTACAAAAAAATCTTCTAATATACTGAACATATACGCCCTATACACACCACATATACAGTCTGCCTGCAACATATGCTCCATATACACACCACATATACAACCTGCCTGCAACATATATTGATGTGAACATATAACATATGCTGCCACATATACTGATGTGAACATATAACATATGCTGCCGCGAACATATACTGTGCATATACAATAGATATACTAAACATATACTCCAATGAAAAAACATGTGAGCACGGTACAAATCGAACCCATCCCCAATTTCCCCTTCCTCCTCCTTCTCCACCCATCAGACCAGCCCTGCCCGAACCCGTTCTAGAACCCATTCCCACCTCCATGGCCGCCGCCGCCGACGCATTGCCTCAGCAACAATCCTAATGGCTCAGGTAAAAACCCTAGCTTTGATGCGATGACGCAGGCTGATTCGAGCACCAATTTGCCGGATTTTTCAATCCCAAATTGCTTCCTCCTGTTAGCGGCACAGAGAATTGATATTTGGTGAGAATTAAGGCATCCGATCCGAGTCTGAATATTTGATGCGAGACAAAAGGTTTTCTGCATATTTTTTCTCTTGAAAAAGTTGAAAAAAAAAGGATGAAACGGGGCTACTGTGACGATGTAGGGTTGCTCGAGGGAAGACGCCGGCAAGTGAAACAAGAAAAAAAACATTGGTGGAAGTTGAAGGAATAAAATTTTGGTACGCTGCTGTGTGGAGAAGAAAAAATCATCCATGGAGAACGATGACTTTGAAGGAAGAAAACGTGTGCCAAATAATTACTTAGAGAAGAGATAAGGAAGATTTTATGTAATTGAGAGAAAGTGGGGTCGGCTTTTGGTAAGGATATATATTGTTCATAATTAATGATATTAATGACATTTAATTTGCCCATAAATTCCTTAACTGAATCTGTTGGTATATGTGCAAATATGTTGGGGTGATTTTGTATCTTTGAAAATAAATATTAATTGGGTGTAAATATGTAATATAAAATATATATGATAGTATAGGGTATAAATTCCTCATGAAAGAGAAGGCCGAAGGGCCCATAACAAATTTACCACAACTTAAACCTAACAAATTTTTAAGAGAAACCAATAATAGAAAGAAAAGTGATTTAAAGTAATGTAATTTCCCCATACCTTAAAGAAGACCAATCATTTGCCAAAATTCTGTAAAATTTGATGAAGGTAAAATAGAAACCATACAAATATACCAACAAAATTATCGGTATAGCCTCAGATCGACTCACTATTTCGATTTTATAACTAGTCCGACTCGAGTTGGCAGCTCTTGCGAGCAGTCGAAGTCTGCACCTGACACCCTAAATTCAAAATTAAACACCAACATGAAAATTAAAGCAAAACAAATCTAACTTCCACAAAATAAGGGGGAATCTGACTCCTACATGAGAGAATCAAACACTACAATAAAAAAAATAACAAACACAAAATAAACCAACAAAAGAAAACAAACACCAAGACAGATGTCCTTGCGGTTGTTTATGGTTTACTAGATATGTCGCCAAACGACCCTTTGCATCATGTTTTGGCGGACATTGTATCTCTTTTATTTCTATTAGAATGTGGGTCTTGTAGCCATATTGGTAGAAATCTGAATTCCGTTGCCCATTGTCTAGCTAGTAGGGCCATGTCGTTGACGGGACTTTCTCTTTAGAAGGATAGTCTCCCGTCTTTCTTATCTTTTTTCTTTGGCGATGTTCGGAGAACTAGTCTCTGTTGAATATTACCAGTTGTATTGATTTGCAAAAAAACACAGTAAGTAGAATAATGGACTCTATCTCCCAAACAACCATCCACTGTTTACACAAAAGATATGAAAACAGCAACCTAAATCATCTCAAAATTAGCTTATGTGAAGTGACATACTAACTTATATCCACCATGGATAAGAGAGAAGCAACGTACCTCAGGTAAGGTAACTTTAGACAACTCAAAATTGGCTCGTATGCATGTGTAATCATCTCAAGACATTACCAAACACATCAAAATGTTTATTTTTCTTTTTTATTAATTTAAACACGAGAGAGTATTTTATTCTGAAACATGTGGGTTTAATATTATATAATTCACCAGTAGAACAAACGTGGCCCATCATCTTACATCATTAAACCATGCACATATTTTCATTTTGTATGCTTATTTTATACTTTGAACCCAAACTTAACCCACATGATTGCGTCATTAATCCGTAAGAGTACAATTAAAAGTATATGAACTTTTGCAATTTTTAATTAGATCTATTAATTGTTCATAGACAATCATAAACCTGCCAAAGATTTGAATTGATACATGCATTCTTTGCTCGCTTCGTAATTACTCAAAGCACCAACAAGTAAAGCATGGCTCTAATTAGCTAAAGTACGTACCAACAAATAAAGCATGCCTTTTAGCTATTGATTACCTGTTTCCACAAAAACTAAATGAATAAAAAAATAATAGCCCTCCAATAGTGTATCAAAAAAGAACTCGTGTTTCATGTTTTGTTAGTTGAATTTGTGATGATTTATTAATTTTCCCAAAGGAAAGGGAAACTTTTGGCCACCTTACTTCCTACAGCTCACGCAAACAAGCACATGAGATCAATTTTATAGCAAATTAATATAATGAACAATAGCTAATTGCAATCTACACAAAGGTATGATTATTTCGTTCATAACATGAGTTTGATAATTTTTTTCTGATTAAATTATAAATTAAATTCCAACATTTGTTTTGTTTATCTTTTTCTGGATATCAAACTACAACTTTGTTTTGTGTACAGTTTAATTTCAACCTTTTAATTTTAACAATAAAGGACACAACTTTCGAACGCAGTCAACAAACCAAGCGGCGGTTACATGTCCATCTCGTTATTTGAATCGAAGATGGGGAGATGACATGCGTATTATAA